TCATACTCGATATAGCTAGCTAACTCAATAAAAGTGGTACGGATAGCTAGCTATCACAAGCCGATATTGCCCGATAACATATTTTTATAGCTAGATAATCTCAAAGGCATTTTTTTGCTTGGGTATACGATATTAGGATCAGAGACCGTCGCAGGGGAACTTTTTTCGCCCTGTTCTATCTTGCCCTACCTTGTCATTAAATTACTCATAAAATTCTTCTGACCCTGCCCTGCCCTGTCTGACTGGGCACGACGCTCTGCAGTGCAAAAGAAAGTTTTTCTCCTTAACCTAGAAGACTCATCACAAATACTAGATGTGTTTCTCGTGCATAACAGAATCTTTTTTTATTAATTATTAATTTTAAAGTTGGCTGTCATTTTTATTTTCACATATACGAGAGATCTCAAAATTTTACTTAAAAAGAAGCAATCTCTCGCAGGGCAAATCAAGGAATTATTTGTTGCCCTATCCTACGACGGTCTCTGATTAGGATACATTCGCAAGAGAACAGACATCAGAAGAAAGGAACAAAACATGTGTAAGGTGCCGGCAATTCAAAAGATAAGCAAAATGTTTTTTTTGATTTTGTTTTGATCATTAGATTGAGCTCATCGAGTTACCTAGAAAAAACTGAAAAGTGGATTTTTGAAAGTCTTTTTTCATTTAAAAAATTTTGAAATATCGATTTTTTAAAAATGGGCAAAATTCAGCAAAATTTTCAAGAAAAAGCAAAATTTGAGGGTTTATTGTCTTTTTAAAATTTTGGCACTATTTTTTCCTGATTTTACATACAAAACTGAATATAAAAAGTAATTCAGTTACTTTTAGAACGTGATTGGTCGACTGAAATCGCTGAAGATCTGGCAGAACGGCTGGAACCAGTGGCGGAGCCAGGATTTTGGGCTAGGTAGGACTCAACCCTCAAGATTTTCGACCCGTTTGTGTATATCATATTTATCTATTAATATTAATAGTGATGTAATATAGACTTAATTCTTTTCTATCCTGACTCTTTTCCGATGGCATAAGTAGACATAAATCACTTAAACGTTCATCGCTCATAGTATTTCGAAGGGCAGTCTTTATTGCTTACATTTTTGAAAACGACCTTTTACAGGATGCTGATGTAACAGGTATTGTCATTGCACCTTGAATCATTAGAACAGCATTGGGAAAAGCTTGTGCGAATGAAATTAATTCGCAACATACTTCCTTGATATCAGGAATTTTTTATTCTTCAAGAATGATCGTAATACGTTTAATTCATTTTGTAATTCATTAGGATTAATATCCAAATGTAATGCAAATGGTTTGAGTATTTCAAAATCTAAGAATTTTTCATGTTTTGGACATAAAGATGATATAGTGCTTAAAAGTTCCATAGCTTCACTTGAGAACCGGTGATTTAATTCGACTAAAACACTCAATTAATGGATAATAAATACTTGTACGATATTGTTCTTGATTATCAGCATAATGTCCGATTGTTGATGTAATAATGGAATCATTGAAGCGCGCGAGTACCTTTTTTTGTCATCGTTGTCTTGGTTTTTGACTAATATCGATGTCATTTTCTTTACAAAACTGTACAACTTTACTGTATAACGATTCAAATGAATTATCATCACGATAGCTTTTCATTTGCTCGATAATTGAAGAAATTAATTGTCTTGCTTTTCCATAATCCAGTGATTCCTCTAAAGAGAATAGAGAAATTAATGATATTTGGTAGAATTGTTTTCCTTTAATAAAATTCGGGTTATCTTAAATAAATACCTTGTAACTGACTGAACAAAATTTTAACACGTCCAAGTATTTTATGTATTACAAATAATGTAACAACGAATAGTGGTTCTTTAAGAGCAATCAATAAACCATTAGCATCGACGGACCTTGCATCACCATCGTCGATTAAATCGTTTAATGCTTTAAGAATCGCTTGATAATTATTGATAACGACATCTATTGACGACCATCTACTATCCCACCTTACGTATGACCATTTTTTAAGTTTTGTTGTTGTATCTAAAATGCAAAAAAAAGAGAAAGTGAACACAATCCTTTTAAAAGAGGTGCTAAAAATAGTTATCAAGTTGTAATAATTCTTGAGCATTTTTAAAATACACACTGGTTACACCCGATGCAGTAAAATACGTATTGATTTTGGTAATTGATAATTGTGCATTTCCACTGATATCTTTCGATTCATCGGCCATCAGTGAATAAAAATGACCAGCAATCTAAAACTTTACAGAACACCACGATACTAAGGTATTAGCAAATCAAATACACGCCATGGATGTTACTTACCTTGTCAGCTATTTTACGTCGAACTTGATTTGCCATTAGATGAAGTAGTTCATTTTGAACTTGATGTGACAAGTAGGTGGCATTATTGGCACTGTCGATTATGGATTTTTTTCTTTATTTAAGTTATCACACTTGTGGGAAAAAATTTAGTATCGGTTTTGAAAAATATTGTTCCGTTGCTGAGAAAATTAATTTTCTTGAAACATTTAGCAAAAAACAACAAAATTCACTTGTATTTTTCAGTTTTCACCATCAACGTATTATTTTTTGCAAAACCAATGTCATATTTGGAATCAGCATCAAAAGCTGACTTGGTTGATGTGTGTCTAAGGATTTTTGGGGGACTGTTATTTTTTTTGTAGGTGTGGGGGAAAATGGTGGGGGGGAAAGGGGGGAAAAAATGTAGGTGGGGC